GAAAAACATTGGGAAAATGGAGCATGTTTAGAAATCAGTAAAAAAGCAGTTTGTATAAGAGCAGTTTGACGAAGATATAAGTTATACCAAGCAGGTAGTGAGAATTAAACCTGAAACAGGAAGTTCAGGGTCAAATCATGGAGCACCTTGAATACTATAATTGCAACTTACTATGTGTCCAATAGTGTATGAATTACCTTAATACATTTTTTAATATTCACAACAATTTTGGGTTTTTTTAGAGGTGATCTTTAAAATTTTTTTGAAAAATTTTAAATACAGTTTACATGCAATATTATATTAGTTTCAAGTGTATGACATACATAGTATTAGCCATTACATAACTTGCAAAGTGATCAACCATCTGACACCTTACATAATTACAATGTTATTGACTATGTTCCCTATGCTGTACTTTACATCCCCGTGATTGTCAGAACAATTTTGCAAAACAAATATTATTATCCTCATATTCCTAAACAGGAAATTGAAGCTCACGGAACAAAATAATTTGACCAAGGTTAGTGAGTGTCTCAGTAAATTTCAGAACCAGCACCTCAGAGTAATAGTTCTTTTTTATTCTCCCTTTTACAATGTCATTTTACATAGTTGTGATCACATAAATATATGTTTCTGTCCTACCTTGTTAACATTAAAGCATGACCACTTTCTTATGACATTAGAAGTGCTTCTTACACAATATTTTTATTGGAGTTGGCTGAATAAAACTATATCATAGTTTATTGTTTTTATAATATTATGTATTATAACATTATTAATATTGTAAATAGTGCTATGGTGAATATGTTTGTGAAACAATTTACCCTCCTACCAATACCTGAAATAATTTCAAGTCATTCAGTTCATTTTGAGTTTCAGCTAAGTTTATCAGTCTGTATGAGCCTGTTATATGTTAACAGTGGTTAAGTTTTTGCTGTGATAATTATTGGGACAATTTGTTTCTTTTGCTGCCCCTTGACTAAGAAACAAACTTAGAACCCAAGTCAGTGTGTCGGTTGGACTTGTCACATGTGAGGCGCAGTATACCCAGGGCCTCAGGAGCGCAAGTGACCTCCACTCCAAGGGGAAACAAATTCCCAGTGAAGGAAACAGATTAAATATATTCTCATATGATGAATTTGAGGTAGCTCCCCCCCCAGCATAAACGGCTGATTTTTTATGCTAATAAAGGAAAAGGGAGCGGTGGCTGAAATAGAGGCAAATACTGTTTCATTCCATTCTAAATTATGTTTTCATCAGGTTCATGTCAAAAGTAGTGAAGACTGCCCTAGCCAGTGGCTCAGTCAGTTGGAGCATCATCCCATAGACCAAAAGGTTGCAGGTTTGATCCCCTTTCAGGGTACATGCCTAGGTTGAGGGTTCGATCCCCCATCAGGCTGCATACAAGAGGCAACTGATTGATGTTTCTCTCTCACATCAGTGTTTCTCTTGCTCCCTTCTACTCTCTCTAAAAATCAATTAACATCCTCAGGTGAGGCCTAAAAAAAAAAAAAAAAAGCAGTACCAATTTCCCAAGGGTATAGCTGAGAAACAATGACGGCTTTGGCAAACTGTTACAGTGAAATACCCTTCTGGGTTTATTATGTTACCTGGCTGTGCTGGATAAGAGAGCCTCAGGATTTTCAGGCTCAGAACACCACATACCCAGAGAAACGGGGGTGAACAGAGAACTTTTCCAAACATAGGTTTGCATTCCTGACTCTGTGCTGAATATGAACAATTCCTTGCCTATAATAACCAGGTCCAGAAACACCTGAGATGGGCTAAATGAACAAGGAGATGGTTTTCTGTGACTTTTTGCTATTGACACCTTATTTATGCAAGATGGCTAGCAGGGGTCAGTTTCTTCTTGCTCTCTTGAGTTTGAGAATCAAAATAGAGTTTAAAAACTGCCATGGTACGGTGTGCCTCTTTCCATAGGGGAAGGTTTATAGCTCCGGTCTCCGTCTCCCAAGCATATTTTGTACTTCCCTCTAATATACTCAAATATTTATCATCTTATATATAAACTCCATGGTATACAAATATTGATCGCATATTTATTTATAACTTCTAATTTGCCATTGACCTAATACTTCTTGTTACAAAAGCTCATGCATTTCCCATAATATTACTTCTACCATGCAGCCCTACTTTGTGAGCAGTAGCAAGTTATTGAAAGTTTTAAAGCAACGGGTGATGGACACATTCATAGCCATGTGATATGCCCTGGATGAACTTCAGGGAGGAAACAAAGCCAGGGAACCAGTCACTTCCTATCATAGTTATCAACTATAAGATAGGCTCTGACCACTTCTCCCTGAAACTCTCTCCCGAATCCAGGCCTTCTCTAGGCTCCCAAAGCTTATTCCACAAGGCAGCATCTTCTCTTTAGAGAGGAGTAAAATTTCCATTTCTTCGTTTTTGTCTTGGCCGGCTTTCCCTTTCTCCAGCAGAAAATAAATTATTACAGGCACCTGGCTGAAGAGCTCATGCCAGCACTACGTAACACTGGCCGTGGCATCTACCGGAGCTTAAGAGTGAGGAGAGCAGTTTCCGGGGAACCTTGACTTTTCAGATTGTTCCCTGATGAAGTCCAGGGTCTGGAGGGAACAAGGTCGAATCTACTGAGGCAGTTAATGAGAAAGAAAGCTGGTCTCAATGGTAAAGCCACCTTTAGACACAGTTAAAAGTACACCCCAAAAGAAACCCTGAATCTTCTCCCTTGAAGAGCAACCCTGTAGTTGGTAGAGAAATTAGGCAAATCCAACATGCAGACAGAGCCTGAAGAGGAGTGGACGTCTCTGGCACTGCCAAGCACTTCTGAGCCATGATAAGACAAGCTGTCCATCTGGGAAAACACCTAGTCCGGCCCCGGCCGGGTGGCTCAGTTGGTGGGAGTGTTACCCAGTGCACCAAAAGACTGAGGGGTTTATTCTTGGTCAAGGCACATACTTAGGTTACAGGCTCAGTCCCTGGTCAGTGTGCATAAGGGAAGCAACCAATGTTTCTCAAATCGATGTTTCTCTCTCACTCTTTAAAATCAATAAACCTAACCTCAGGTGAGGGTTTTAAGAAAAGATAACATCTAGTCTCATTCCAAAGTTCTGCACTGGACAGCAAGTCGGGATTGGAATGAAGGTACCTGGTGACTGACCAGAGAGTTGGCCCGACCCTGAGACCAGTGGCCGACAAGGAACCCCTTAGTCCTCCTCCCAAGCAATCCCAGTGCCTGTCTCCCTGAGGAGCCAATCGTTGGCACACGTGTCCTTATTTTCTTCTCTTTCTAGAGAAAATATCCTGGATAGTGTTTGAGGAGGCACAAGCATGGAAGGAGGCTGGGGGAATGCATAAGCCTGCCTTAGTTCTCAGCCTGCTTCCATGGTAAGACTCCCACAGGCTTAGAAAAGAGGCGGGCGAGGGGCATGAGGGACAGGCCGGTGAGGTCAGAGCATCTCAAGAACCCAGGGTTCTCCATTTCTTATGCTATTCTTAACATCCCCGTCTATTTTGTTCCTACCAATTATGCTTCTTAATCCCTGCACCTAGTCTCCCACTCTCCTCCTTTCCCCTCCCAGTTGATAACCCACCAAATGATCTCCATATCTGTGATTCTGTTCCTGTTCTGGGTGGTTGCTTAGTTTGGTTTTATTTGTTTGGTTGGGATTTTTTAGATTCACCTGTTGATAGTCATGAATTTTGAACTAAGGGGGGATTTCTGGAGGGAAGCGGGGTATTGGGCCGAGGGGGACAAAGGGAGAAAATTGGGACAACTGTAATAGCATAATCAATAATATATAATTTTAAAAAAACCCAGAAAACCCAGGGTTGTGAGTAGGGAATAACAGGTTCGACTCTAGCATTACACTTCTGAACTCAGCTCCTAGCTCCACCACTTACTGGCTGCTATGAACATAGGCAAGTTATTTAACCTCTTTATATCTTACTTTTCTCACCTTTAAAAGGGAATGAATAATGGACTACCCACCTCACAGGGTCACCGTAAGGATTAAATAAAACGGTGCTTGTGAGCTGGCGTGCAGTAAAAATTCCACACTTGCCAGCTATTCTGGTTCCATGGAGCCCTTTTTCCTGCTTCGGGGCGAAAGCACATGTCTGTGCTTCCTGCCTTTTTTCCATCAAGAAAATTTCAAAATTACATCTGAGGACTCTCCAAAACATCCCGCACACGTTCTAGAGAGTGGGCACAGAAACGGGATGGCTCACTGGTGCCTGGCGGCGACCGACCCTGCTGGGCGTGCCTGCTGCCTGAACATCGCGCGCGCGTGCAGGACCACACAGATGCGAATGGTCGTGCGTCTGCTCTGCCGCCCGCGCGCGGACTGGGCAAGTTCAGCTGTCCCCGGTTAGCTTCATGGAGCTGGTGGGCGGGGCAGAGCCATTGTTCCGCAGCTGACCGAGCACCCCCGCGCTTGCTAGAGGACGGCGGGCTTCACTGGCTCCGTGCTCTCCTGACCCCAGGTTTAAAGCCACGTCTTCCCTCCCACGCGTCTCTGGAAACGCGAAGGAAAGCAGGATGGAGTTGTGGCTACTGGTCTACCCCGTGGCTTCTCTACTGTTTCCTGTGAAACTTCCCCAGTGCCCATCCAATCGCTTGGTGCTGGGGGGGCAGAGCTGGGATGGTACCCACCCCCCATTCCCGGACTGCGTCCTCCCCGTCTTCCGGAGAGAACGCTCCCGAGTGCCTGCGAGGCCGCGGGGTGCCGGACAGAGGCCCAGCAGCTGGTGGAAGAGAAGCTGAGGAGAAAGGGATGGGAGGGGGAGCGAGGAGCTCGCGGCAGAGGGAACAGCAGATTGCGCCGAGCCAATGGCAATGGGAGGACGAGGTGGCACCAAATTCCCCTCGGCCAATGACGCTCCAGAGTTTACAGAAGCCCATTAGCATTTCCCCAGGGGCAGGAGCTGCGGCGGCTGAACCGCGGTGTGGCTGCAGCATCGTTTTTGCTCGTCCAGCCCCTAGCACGCCCCATCTCTGTCTCCTCCCCTCTCCGCTCATGCGGGACTCCCAAGGAGAGCCAACTCTGCGCACTTTGCCCCTGTTGGCTGCGAATAAAAGAGGCGTGAGGAAATACGGGGCACAGTCACCCCGCTGCTAGCTCTAGCCTTTAAATCCCCAGGCTTGGCAGATCCACGCACAGTGGGTCGGGTCCGGACATCGATCCAGCGCGCACGAACCTAGAAGGATTCGGAGCGCAACGCCGCCTATCGCCGCGCAAAGGCGGGCGCAGCCATCTAAGTCTCCGCTGTCCCGAACTCCGCTCCGCAGCCTCAGCCCTAGGGAAGTGAGCCCAGCATTAGAGTCCAAATGCCGGCCCACTTGCTGCAAGATGAGGTGAGTTTCCCCAGCATTGGCTTCCAGTCCGCGGGGTCGCCGGCCCTGGCTGGGCTACTGGGGGACTCGTCGATGATGGAGGAGTTGAGGTCTCCGCGGAGGACAGAGCCATCTTTTGCGAGTTGTTCTGCTTTCATTTGTTGGGAATGTGGATTGTTATTTGGGGACTAGGTTCCCGAACTTTTGTTTCTTAGGCTTAAAAGAAAAACCGAGTCGTGCGGGTACCCTTATACGGGTAGGTAGCGCCTTCGGGTGTTCCTTCGCCTGTTGGAAGGGGTGAAAGCGTTTTACTCCTTCCTATTTGCCCCTTCACCTTGAGGCTTCACCCTCCTCCCCATCTATCTGTACAGTTCCCGGAGACTTCTTTTTCTTTCATCCAGGGTAGACCCCACCCTCAGTTAACCTGGGTATTGGGGACAGGGTCTGGGCCAATACTTCCTCCTTCCCCCAGCCCGATTAAAGAGTGAAGTGGCCCCGGCTACCTCCACGTGTCATCTCCTCTCTCCCTACTCTCCGCTTTCTCTCCCTTCCAGATCTCTAGCTCTTACACAACCACCACCACCATCACTGAGCCTCCCTCCAGGATCCTGCAGAATGGAGAAGGCAAGCTGGAGAAGAATCCCCTGTATCCGGATGACGTCCGTCCTGAAATGAAAGATGACATCTATGACCCAAGCTACAAGGATAAGGAGGGCCCGAGGCCCAAGCATGAGTATGTTTGGAGGAACATCATCCTTATGTTTCTGCTACACGTGGGAGCTCTGTATGGGATCACATTGATCCCCACGTGCAAGGTCTACACCTGGCTCTGGGGTAAGAGTTCTTCTTATCTCCTTGACCCAGTATCCCAAATGCTCTCTGCTCTTCTGTAAGGTGGGAGCTGACGTGGAACAGAGGCACCAGCCCCTCTGGGCGCAGGTTTTCCCAAATTTGTCTAAGAGGCTGAGTGGGCTGGGAACAGCCCAGGGGCTCTGGGAGGCAGGAGTGGCCGAGCCAGAGGTCCTTTCGCACAGTGTTGGGGAGGCAGCCCTGAGACCATGTGCTGCAGGCTTTGAAGTGCGTAGACCTGTGCCAGAGAGTCAGCTTTCCCTGAAAGAGCTTTTTTGTTTCAAGCCATTTGTTTGGCTGCTTGTCCCAGCCCTGCCAGCCACAAAAGAATCAAGGCCCCTACCTGGGAAGCATGGGAACAGGGGATGAAACCTGTAGTCTCAGGGGCTATGTGCTGAGCATTGTGGGACAGCAAGAGAAACTGCTCAGGAAGAGAGGAGAGGGAGGAACAGAGAGGTGGTTACTCACAGAATTATTTGCCCTGACCCTTGGCCCACCAGCCTCCTTTGTTAGGGAAAAGATGAAGGCTCCTGTAGGGCCCAAGTTACACAGGTGTGGTGCTCTGTGGCTTCATGTTGGTCTCCAGGGAACTGTATGCACCACTCAGCACAATGTCCTTTGGTTGAAGTAAGGTTGAGGAAATGTGTCATGTCCCACTCCCCAACCAGCCCACTCCAGCCCCTGTCTCCTGATAGCCTGCAGTCTCTCTTTGCCAGGACAGCCAGACCAGGCCAGAAAAGAGCCCTAAGCAGCCCTAGCCTTGAGGCTGCTGCAGTGAAGGAGACAGATCCCAGTTCTGTCCCTGACCTGCCCTTAGCTCAGATTTTTCAGGGATCCATGGGTATGAGCTGAGAGCGGGGCCCTGCCGCCTGGATACACACATGCGCTTTGCAGGCATTTTCACCTCTGCCACCGTAAGCCTGAGTTGGGGAGGGGAGAGCAGGGAACTCTAAAGACCCAGGGGCCTCACATTGCCACCCTCTGAGGGTGGTGAGTGAGAACTCTCTCCAGGAAACAACCTTGGGATTTCCAGAGTAGTCTCAGGTGTGGCGCGTCTGCTGACAGCGGCACTCTTGGAGGGTAGTTACGTAGAAGGGCCGGTAGGCCAAGTGTAGCTGATTCTCGTAGGCCCTTTTACATCTAAAGGTGGTGGGATCTGGTCCCTAGAGCTTCATGTTGGGAAATCCTCTCAGTGCCTCAGACAGTGAAATGCAACTGGGTAGATCCTCTCTCTCAGGATCTCAATCTTTCCGAGTACAAATTCTTTTAGGATCAGGAAGGTTACAGGTGTGTCATTGCTGGAGTTGGCGAGGGGCAGGAAATCAGTTCATCTGCAGATCAGGAAGGGCTCTCCTGTTTGAGGGGGGACAGGGACATCTGTTCTATGGTCCCTCTGAGAACCCAGCTGAACCTCAGTTGCAGTGTGCGGATTCCCCGGGGAAACTGGACTCCTCGCTTCACCCCTCCTCCCCAACAGAGGAGTCTTCACACGTAGTTTTGTTGCCTGTCAGCTCCTTCCAGCCTCAGCATTCCTGCAGGGCTGGTTAAGTCCAGATTTTGGGCTACGGATACAGGGGGCAGAGTGTTACCCCCCACACCAAGGCAGTGCCCACTGCCGGTTTGTGCCCTGTCCACGGGTGTGCGCTGTGCCTTTGGACCGAGAAACGCAGCACACAGAGACTGGACGAGGACCTTCCGTGCTCCTTTCCCTGAGAAGGTGGTGGATGGTGTAGCTGTCTGAAGACTATCTGGTATGGAGATATCAGAACTCCTCTGTCTTAAGGAACAGGAAACAGAAAGGGACAGCCAGAGGTCCTGCTTTCAGAGTTTAGGCACTTGGCCTCAGCTTTTCTTTTATTCCCAAAGGACAGTGTTAAATTAGCAGCTGGCTGTGATTACAGCATTTCTCAGCGCTGAGGATCTGGAGAGCCTCTGAGAAGGGCTCTTAGGGGCCAGCTAAAGGGATATCACTGGCAACACTGAGGGCCAAGGGGCAAATCTGCTGGTCTCTTAGGGCCAAAGCTATGAGATTTTGTTGAACCATCAGTTCGGGCATTAGTAGAGAATGCAGCTCTAACCGATGCAAGGCCTAGTTCCTAGGATTAGAGGGGCGGATAGAAAAGCACCAGAGTGCCTGGGTTCTGTTCTCGATTCCCCTGTCAGTACTAGGATATTCTGTGCTTTCTGAGTTAACTTGCTAGGGTCGCCTCCGCGGCGTGAAGCAACCCCAGTAAGCTTCCTTGGTTCTGAGCCAAGTGTGTCTGCTTTTGTGCCCAAAGCCATTTTTCTTCTTCCTCACTGATTCATGGGGCTGTGGCTCAACTGTCACTCTTCAAAGCGCAGATGCATGCAGATATTGCGTGTGGAAAGAAAACTGCCACATGGCTTGAGGCCAGCAAGTCACCTGGGCCCTAACTTCAACGCAAAGAGTTTGGTGACAGAACTTGCGCTGGAATAGACTCTGGCTCCTTGCCTGTCCTTGGGATCTTGTAGGAGGAATAGGATCGGGTGGTGGAAGATAGGGTAGGAGAGAGGAGGGGGTTGTTTAGGAAACTGCTATCTATGGCTGGAGAACACAGGACAATTTGTTACAATGTGTGGTGTCTCCAACTGCAACTAAATTCTGCGGTCACTGAGGATCCATTGTTTCTAGCTGCTTCCCTGGGAATGAAACATTGTCAACAGTCAACTGCTTTACCAAGGCCTTGCTCAGCCCCTGCCTCCTAGAGCTACTGAACAGAGGAAGATGGGCACTCCCAGCAACCCCCATTCCCAGTTTATAGCTGGCACCTCCTGAGCTGGCAGGCCTCCAGGAAGGTGAGGGAGGACAGTGTTGTGGTGCTCCGCTGACCGTTTTGAGCGTGTCCCACCATTATCTAACATTAGCCTTGCCAGGGAGAGTATGGGCTGACAGGGAGACTTGGCAAAGGGAGACATGGGACCTCTGTGCATACCCTGGGAAGCTGGATGGGGTTGCTGGAACATGAACGCTTATTGACAGAAATCCTAGTTTTAAACCATGGTTCCCTTTCTTACTAGACTTGTGACAAAACATAAACACAGCCTCTCTGAGAATCTTTTTCTTCAAACTGTGAAATGAGGATATTAAAGCCATTCAAGGCATCCAGAGAATCATAGCATATAAAATTCTTGGTTAAGCTTAAGACGCTGTGCAGATACAACGTATGTGCAGGGCAGATTTCCCCCTGACATTGCCACCCTGCCTGCTAAACTATTGAAATGCTTTTGTACCAGTTGGTAAATAGCCATAGTTCTGAGCCCCCAAGTGTCCTCTAGAACTTGGAGCCCCTCGAATTGGTGAGTGCCCAGACTGTACTTGCTACGGGCCCTAAGTGCTGTGGGAGTAGTTTATTGTCCTTCAAATTGGGAGGAAGCTTAGCTGAAGGTCAGAGGACTAAGGGACCTGGGATAATGTACCCGATGACTGGGAGTGACCAGGTGGCCAGGCAGTAAGCTCTCTCTTCTCTGTCCTGCCTTCCTAAAGTTCCTGGGACTCCTTAGTTTATTCCGGTCCCTAGGTGGAGAGGATAAGAGGTGGTGGTATTTTTCAAGTAATAAAACCAGAGAGACCTAACAGACCAAGGTGCCTCTGCACTTCTGGGGAAAGCAAATCCTCTCTTGAAGCCTCTGAAGACACAGACAACATGCAGAGAACCACATGTGAATGGTTTTCCAGATTATTGACCTCCCACTGTTTCCACCCGGTAGGGTTTCTCTACTATATGGTCAGTGCCCTGGGCATAACAGCGGGAGCCCATCGCCTGTGGAGTCACCGGAGTTATAAAGCTCGGCTGCCCCTGCGGCTCTTCCTGATCATCGCCAACACGATGGCATTCCAGGTAGGAAGACAGCTCCGCTCAGCTCTTCCCTCCGCTCTGTTAATGATCGGGGGCAGAATGGAGGATATCCGTACCTGGACCATCATGTCACTTCCTTTCTCCTTGTGGTCACCTGACGTGCAGGCCCAGTCCTTGAGTCCCTAAAGCATGAGCACAGTTCAGAGTCACTAGGAAAGGGAAATAGGACATAAACAGGAAATACTCTGTTGTCACATAGTCTGACTTTTGGGGTCCTTCGTCCTAAGGAGCTACCATGCATAAGCCTTAGTTTACGCTGCTGGTTTCCTGGGCAGACTTTGAACAATAGATTCACCATTTTAGGTGAATATCTTAGGACTCTACCACGATGGGATCGAAGTGCATGTTTCACGGGCTGAGTTCTGTTGTTTTCAGGTAATGAGAGCAAACCCTTTTATAGCACTGAGTATGTGCCTGGTACTATTCCAAGTCCTTGACATAGATTATCTTGTTACATTCTCCTAGGAGATGGGTACTATTACTCTTCCCATTTTCCAGATGAGAAAATTGTGTCACGGAGAGGTTAGAGAGACTAACATTATGGTCCTATCTTGGGCTGTCAGGCTGGCTAAGTCAAGTAAGAGGTTTATTGAGGCAGGAATTGGGGAAAGGGAACTCATAGCTATTAAGTGGTAGCAATGGGCAAAGAATAGCATATGATGTGGGGTTTAGCTTGGCGCAGAGGGGGAAAAAAGAGGCAACCAAATTTGTCCCCTTCTTCGTGGCAGTATTCCATGGAACCTACTGCTATTGCATCATCACCTGGGCCACAGTACTTAATACCTTGAGGGCTCCTGATATCGGGGCAAGGATGAGGAAGAGATACTGACATATCCTTAAGGGATGGCAAGAGCCCTGGCTGGTGTGGTTCAGTGGATTGAGTGTCAGCCTGCAACTGAAAGGTCACTGGGTTAGTTCCCAGTCAGGGCACATGCCTGGGTAGCAAGCCAGGTCCCCATATGGGGGCATGCTAGATGCAACTGATTGACATCTCTCTCGCACATTGCTGCTTTTCTCCCTCTCTTTCTCCCTCCCTTCCCCCTCTCTAAAAATAAATAAATAAAATCTTAAGGGAAAGAAAAGGGATGGAAAGAATCCCAGAGGAGCCCAGAGGTCATTTGGGAATGTGGCCAAGCTCGTGATTTATATGCCTGGCCTTGTTGAGTTGTGAGCCATCTCTTGCCAAGACATCAGAATGGAGCTCCCTGCAGCTTCATCCACTGTCCAGGACCCTGGGACACAAGGCTGCCTGCCTCGTTCTCCCTGCCCAGGGATCAGACACCACATGGAAGGCCTTTTCCAACGTTTCTTGCTTGAAGAATTGCAATGTTCTCTCCTAATGAAACTCCCTGAGCTCTGCGTAGTCCACCTCCATTCCGCCCACTATAAAACCTTCATGAAGCAACCAGCCCTCTTTGTGTGGTCCTAGGGCTTTAAGGTGCTTTTCCACAGAAGCTTCAGTGGCAAGTTAGGGGAAAAGAGGAGGCAACTCCATGGCCCTCTTTGGAGCCCCAGCTTTTGGGTAGTGTGTGATGCTGGGCTGAGAGCCGTGGGTTCTTGAAGATGTCTGTTCACTGGGATTCCCCTAAGAGAATATCTCTCCTCAGGCCTGCTTTCTTCTCTGTTCCTCCAGAATGATGCTTATGAATGGGCCCGAGATCACCGTGTTCACCACAAGTTTTCAGAAACGGATGCTGATCCCCACAATGCCCGACGTGGCTTTTTCTTCTCTCATGTCGGTTGGCTGCTTGTGCGCAAACACCCAGCTGTTAAAGAGAAGGGTGGTTTGCTAGACTTGTCTGACCTAAAAGCTGAGAAGCTGGTCATGTTCCAGAGGAGGTGAGTGGGGTGTCGATGGAGCTGGGCACCTGGTGTTTGGGGATCCCCCTTTTTTCTCCTGGGACTTATAAATGTAAGCTGAGAAGTTTACTGGGTTTGTATGTTCAAAATCACAATTTAAAACCCTAATTTTTAACAGCCCCCAAGTTCACAGCCATAGACTATTGTTCTTTCTGAGCTACCTTAATTAAACCAATTAAATTCAACAAATGTTTATTGACCTACGAAGTCATGGATACAAAGACAACTGTGTCATAGTCCTTACCTTCGAGGAGTTTGTGGCCTATTAGTGAGTGAAAGGGTAAGCCAAGTGTCTAAATAGCTATGGTGTGTGGCAAAGCGGTTTCTGTACCGATAAGAGGCACCAAGGAGAGGGAGAAGGCATAGGGAAGGGTTTATGAAGAAAGTAGCTTTGGAATCCACTGATCGGTAAAGATTTTCACAGGTGGTGTGGGGAGAGGGAGGGACAATGCAAACAGGACAGAATGAACTAAAGCCTGGAGCATGTTCCAGCAACAGAGTCCTTTGGCTTGAAGTGTAGGGTGTGGTAGAATTAAGACTGGAGAGGGAGACTGGTGCCATTCTTGGAGAGTCTTAAAAGCAGATTTAGGATTTAATTCAATAGGGAACAGGAAAATGTTAGAAGCTTTTTAAGCAGGAATGTGTCGTGGTTGGAGGTGTGCTTTAGAAAGATCACTCTCATGACAGCTGAGAAACCATTGAGCCAAAGAGCTGCAAGTTAGGATGCAGTGATGACCCATGTTAGGTAAGGATGCAAAGGAGTGGATGCAGGAATACCGGTGATAAAAGAGCATGAGACATGACTGCTGAAGAGACATAAAAACTCGAGGCGATGACCTGGTCTGCACTTGAGAGATTGGATAATGGGACAGGGCCTCCAGAGGATCAGCTGTAGACATCGAGGGCCCTAGAGGGTGGCTGGCAAGAAATGAAGGCAAGACTCTAAACATGGACTCTGCAAAGAGCACTGCCCAGAAAGAGAGAGGTACCCAAAGGTGGAATCGAAAAACAGCCTGGGCAGGAGAACTAAGTGTCTTTGTTTGGAATCTGGACCTCGCCTATCTATCCACATGGAATTATGCTATAGTAAAAGAAGAGCAATGCATTTTGAGTCAGGAGACCAGCGTTCTGATCCAGGCTCCACTGGTTCCCAGTGGGGCGATCCTAGAAAAGTCATTTACCCCCTCATTACCTCATCTAAAAAATGAGATAACACTACATTCTCATAAAATTTCCCACCCCATCCTTCTTGCTCTGTTTTCTGCCGCACTGTCCTCACATAGAAGGAAAGAGACAACTTAACCCAGCGATGATGGAAATCAGGTGGATTTATGTCCTCCCTCCGCTGACTCTATGTATGGTCTTTCAATGCAGGCATTACAAGACCGCTGTCCTGGTGCTGTGTTTCATCCTGCCCACACTCGTGCCCTGGTATTTCTGGGGTGAAACTTTCCAACACAGCTTATATGTTGCCACTTTGTTGCGATACACCCTTGTGCTCAATGCCACCTGGCTGGTGAATAGTGCTGCCCACCTCTACGGATATCGCCCTTATGACAAGAACATTAACCCCCGAGAGAACATTCTGGTTTCACTGGGAGCTGTGGGTAAGTCAGCCATCCACAGCAAGACCACACCTAGTGGTCTGCTGTTTAGGGTATTAGGCTGAGAACCAGGAAAACCAGATTAAGTTGTTTTATGATCTCTTTTTCACCCTGCAACTAAGTGGTAATACATTAGAAAACTCTTGAGAGTCAGGCAACAAGTCTTATACAGAAAGGAAAGGGTAAGAAATAACAATGCCTTTGATTCCAGGATCTAAACCATCTCCCAAATGCTGTGTATAATGAGCCCCTTTGGGTTTTCTTTTTTCCAGTCACCTGTGGGCTAGACTGCAGTCTTTCGGGGGGCAGGGAACGTATCAATAGAACAATAGGGTCCTCTACGTGGCCTGTATGCCTAGTGGTTTATATTTAAATATGTCATAGAAAATGTAGAATTAATACTTGTAGTTTAGTTCAATAAACTTTTATCTTCTGGTTGTACCCCGATAGCCCATTCTTGAAGTGTATGCCAGGCCTTATTGCTTGGCGGCCCTTTCCCATCACCTACCATTCTTGCCCCCATCCTTGTTTTTTCTCTCTTCTGCTTTATTTGATGCTAAGAACAGCTCCTCCCCACAATATGGCTTAGGGAATCCCTGATAAAGCAGTTAGTTTGATCGCAAGTGCCTGCTTGCTGATCTGATGCTGGCTATTCATGAATTTACTTCTCTCTGTAATTTGAGACCTAAGAACCAGAGTCTAGAACAGCAGGATTCTGCCATCTGTCTCCATTTTTTTTCTCTCTCATTCTTTTCAAAGAAATATAGACCTTTACTAAGGCCTGGAATTCGTTTCCCCTAAGCAAACCCAGGGGCCCCTTCTTCCTCACCAGTGATTAGTACTATTGGTTATCCCATATATCTAGGTGACCTTGCTGTTCCATATGTTTATGCACATCATAGCCTAATATTCACATTTTTCCTTTAAAATCTTCCTTCATATTCTCAACCCTGACCACCTTTACAATCTGTACTAAAAGTGTTTTATTTTTTTCTATTCCTTTTTAATTTTCACGCCTCTTCCCCCTCCTTTCAGTCACCTTCAACCACTGTGTGTGTCCTTATTCGGAACCGTGTTTGAAATAAATCACTTAGGCCCTATAAGTCTGAGGTTTTAATATACATGGAAGTTTCTGGAATGAGATTTGTCCTGTCCTACAAACGGATCTATAGTGAGCTTCCCCACCTACAGCTTCTTTCCTGCCCTTGGTTCAAAGTGGCTCCAGTACCTTACTTTGTCTTATTTATCCCTCCATACCTGCTGCTTTCCTCCCTTATCACGGCACCCTTTGTTTTCCTCTAGCTCTGCTTCCTGCCCTTCTAATCTTTTCTTCTTGAATTACCTTCCCCACAGTCACATGTTCATCTTCTCTCTGCCAAAGCTGACCTCCCTTGAGCCTTTCACGGGCTGTGTCTTGCTGCCCCAGTTGCAAAGTCTTGACCTTCTTCTACCCATGAACCCGCCTTCTCTTTCCCTACCCCCACCTCCCTGGGCTATGTTTGTGTCTGAGTCAGTTTTAAATCTGATAGGTATAGGCCTGGTTAGGGCTTTATACTGAGCCTCGCTGCAAAACCATTTATGGAAATCAGCAATCCCCTGTTAGTACCGCGGGCCTTGGGATCATTCCACCCTCCCCTCAGTTCACTCTCTGGATAATCCAGTATCACAGAGAGAGGACATACCTTGAGATACCCTGGATGGTGTCATTTACTTTGTAGGACTGCCTGTACTTGCTCATTGTTAATATCATTACTACCCTACTGAGGTCCTTTTATCTTCAAAGGGCCCAATGTGCTCTTTTATGAGCTGTTCTTTATCTGGCTTTGTCTGGGCCTCATAAGGGTTGGTATTGTTATTGGCAAATGCAGTTCAGAAAGAAGAGTTCTGCCAAAGATTGGAGAACTCTCTGTGGAGTTTCCAAAGTTTTATTCATTACAGAAAATTATCATGAATCCAGAATGTCTTTGTTTTTCCTCCATCCAGCAAAGTGAACTAGTCATCACAGAGCTTTAGAAGTTAGAGGGAATGTATATGCATCTCGGTTCTGTCTGACTCCCGCAGAGAGCTTCTAGCTGCATCAGCACCGCACCAGGGTCAAAGTTCAAAGAATTCCAAGGCAGAGAGTTTACTGAACAAGTGGTACCTGAGGACACCTGAACTCTTGGTCTGGGCATCCTTTCTTCTGATGTTTGGCTGTAGCTGCCCAATTCTGTTGGTCTCTTAGACCCTTGGAAGTAGTAACTGCAGGTGTATTCCTTCACTCATCTTTATAAGAAACACAGCAAAAGTTCTTCATTTTGGTCTCTCTCCTCTCCCTACCCTAACACATGCTCAGACACACAGAGCCTTGAGGGATGCAGACCAATATTTAGTGAAGTACTGGAATTTTCCAGTTTAAAGTCCATTTTTAAGCCCTGGCTGGTATAGCTCCGTGGATTGGGCGCCAGTCTGCAAACTGAAGTCCATTTTTAGTGCTGACATTTTCTTGAGAGGAACTGCCAGTCCTTTTAGCACCAGGGCTCTCAGGCAGCCATGTGTGACCAAGATCTCCCTGGTTGTTTCTTAAGAAGCCTCTGAGAGGTCTATTTGGTTCAGACCAGAAGAGGCTGGTTTCACTCATTCATTCACCAATTGCAAGTTTCTACTAGGTGTGAGGTCTTCTGCTAGATAACTGATGTTCCAAGATCAGGAAGATGGCAATTCACAATAGAGCTCCATAATTTTTTCTTTGTTTTTCTTCCAGGTGAGGGCTTCCACAATTACCATCACACCTTTCCCTATGACTACTCCACCAGTGAGTACCGCTGGCATGTCAACTTTACCACATTCTTCATCGATTGCATGGCTGCCCTTGGTCTGGCTTATGACCGGAAGAGAGTCTCCAAGGAGGCCATCTTGGCTAGGGTTAAAAGAACTGGGGATGGAAGCCACAAGAGTGGCTGAGTTTGGAGCCCTTGGGTTCCTTTTCCAAAAGCCAGCCAGGCAGAGGTTTAATGTTCTGTTTATTAACTACTGAATAATGCTACCAGGATGCTAAAGATGATGAAGTTAACCCATTCCAATACAGTATTTTTTTAAAATTCAAAAGTGTTGAAAGCCAACAACTCTGCCTTCATGATGCTGAGCTGATATTTTTCTTTCTTCTCTTCCCTGTCTTCTAGACACCATCGTTCTTTGCTTTCTTCCTGTCACCTTCCTTTCCCTTCCCTCACACTGCCTCCCAGACAAGCAGCTGGTGAGGCATTGGTGAGTGTCCAGCTTCCAAAGTCTAGACAACCTTTCTGTCATCCAAAACTAGTGGTTTTGCCCCAGATAACTCTTTCCTTGAGGTGTCCTGAGCTTCAAGTAGGTGGCTCAAGCTAGAGAATTTGACAAAATCTTCTGAGAAGACCCCTATTCATTATCTTCATTCCCAACTTTTGCCAGATGGAATGGAAAAACAACTTTATTTGGCACAAAGCTTCTAAAGTAGGTAAATTGTCAGGGGAGAGAGTTAGCGTGCATGGAGTGATTGACAAGTTAAGATGGGGTGAGGGAGGAAACAAAGCAAGAAGCTCCTGATGTGATCGAACCTGCAGCTGCCTGCCGAATGAGGACATCAAGCCCCAGCACACAGCATGCCTCCTTTCTCTCCTGACTCTGAGTAGGGAATGGCCATGGAGCCTGGCAAGGCCAGAACACAAGCAAATTTTAGCGGATCAATAGAGTCTAGGCTGGGAATAAAGAAGAAGCATTTAGTTTGTAGTAAAAGATGTCTTTGAGAGAGAAAGATTTTTTTTTCTTTAATAACAGGAAGATTTCTTATTTCATATATCAGGAAGTCTTGAGGCGAGTCGTTTCCAGAATTGGTGGACCCAGCAGCTCATGGAATCATCAAAATTCTTTCAATGTTCTGCTCTGCCATCTGACCATTGGGATGTGGGTGAGACACTCATGGTCATAAGGTGGCTGCAGCATTTCCAGACCCCCCAAAAAGGATGGCTTTTTAGGAGACGGGTAAAACAAAAAGATATGTATACAGATATACTGTGCTTAAAATAGTAAATAATTCACTTAGTATTTCCCTCTGAGAGAGGGATGCTTAGAGAAGAGGAATAATAAAGTCAGTTGTCCACTTTACCCCGCCTCGTTGGACAAGGAGATGGAGAGGCTGAGAAACAGGTTCTGTAGGCAGTTTCTGAGAGATAACTTTACAGAACACATTGTCTGGGGATTTGGATTCAGTCAGAAAGTTACTAAGTTATTGGGTGTCCTACTGTGAAAGCTGGTTACCCAAACAAGTTAGCTATCAGTATGTTCATTCGTTGGCTCCTATTTCTGCTTGGAACTGGTAAGAACTAGAAAGTTTCTCAGCACAGTTTCAGACCACTTCACTCATTTCTTCTCTGTTAACATCTAGCTCAGCGATTTGCAACCTTTTTCATCTCATGGCACACAAACTAATTTCTAAAATTCTGTGTCATACCAAAAAAAAACTTTTCTTTTGCCGATCTGACTAAAAAAAAAAATAGGTATTTGATTAATTTACACCAGGCGGCTATTCCTGTGTTAGCTGTTGTCATTTTTTTTTGTTTGGTTGACAATCTAAGGGAGAAGAGGTCAGTGACCCTGACTAAATAGGCAGTAATTGCAGGTTTTAAAAATTCTTGTGGCACACCAGTTGAAAATCGCTGATCTAGCCTAAAGTACAGGACTGCCTAGGGGCAAGGAGATAGAAGTCTTTTAATTACCCTGATTATCAATTCCTGGCTCTACCTTATCTGTCCATTTTCTCCTACTGGTTCTCTCTATTCCCTGATGTTTTCTTTTTTCTCTGGACAGGCAGCCTCCTTTGTGTATTCAGAGGCAGTGACGGTTATTGCTGTCCAGGCAGACAGAATACTCGGGGTCGCTGACCACTGTTTCTCTTCATAAAGTTGAACTGGCTGCCACTTACGCTTGGCCTCCAGTCTCTCCACCTACACTTCTGTGATCCCCTGCCACCCTGATGACTCAAGACAAGGCTGGCAAACCCTGCTAGAAATATCTCTGGCTCAGGCACTCTCTCTTATGAGGCACAGCCAAGCCAAATGCTTGCATCAACCCAGTGAGCCAGCCAAGGAGCGAGAGTTTGTTTTCAGTTTCCTCTGTCTGGGTCAGAACCAGGGAGCATGCTGGATGGCCCCTTGCTTGCTCATTCACCCTGCCCAGCTTTAGTCTGTGCTCCCAGCTGATTGCAGTGCTGATAAAAGTAGGAGGGAGCCTGGTCTTCACTGGGAAGCACAAGAAAGAGGCAAGTTCCAAAGTGCCTCACTCGAAAGGAGGCCCTGTGTGGTCCCTGGAGCCAGGGACACTGCAAAGCTTTAGCTGAAACTTGGGGTCTGAGATGCCATGAACCTCTACCGAACTCTGAACTCTGGGGTCTGAACTCTGTTCAGCAAATTAACCAGCATTCCCCGCAATAGAGCCGAGGGTAGATGATAGTATAGAAGAGGTTTGGGGGGAAAAAATTGGTATTTTGAGAACCTTGGACCACTCCTGTCCCTGTACCTCAGTCATGAGTGCAGAAGCCTGGCTCTTCTCTACCAAGATTGGAAAAGTGCACTAGCAAATGCCGTGTCCACTGGTGGATCCCAGTGGTGGAAGGGAGGAGGGCCTTCCTTCTTGTATTAACTGGATGGACATAACAGGGGTAAGCATGGACTGAAGGCATCTTTGTCTTTTGAGCCGTTCCTCTCAGTAGAAAAGAATCTAATGGAAGATCACCGTAGTTTTAATCTGCTGACCTGTGTACCTACCTACCCCTTGGAAATGTCTTTTGGATAGTTTTAATTCCACAGGTCATCAAATGCCTGCTTTATAATTTATGGTCAAAAACAACTTTATCTTTCCATTCTAATTGTGTTCCATAGATCTGATCCACACCATGACCTTACATGAGGCTGGATGGGGTCCTCAGGCCGAGGGCCCGAGTGTGTATGTGGATGTGTAGGTTTCAGGATTCTAAAGCTGATTCAAATGATGCATTAATAATCCAGAAATCAGATCTGATCAGGTCTGAAATTCTAACAGTCCTTGCTTTGTGGGTGTACTGACAACTTATTTGGGTGCCTTACATCTTTTCTAATCAGCATTGCGTATGAGCCTGCTCTCACTCCCTCCTTGCTCCTCTGTGGAGTTCCTTTGCACCTGAGAGCCTGCAGAAGTAGCCAGTAGAAAAGGGGCCTGGCTGGAGAATGGTCAGTACAGCTATTTGCAGGATTCCCTTCTGGGCTTCATTTTGGAAACCTCTTAGGGCTGTGTTTATTAAGTGCCCACATTTGATGGAAAGTGGAAGTAATTTGAATGTATTTGGTTTATACTTTTTCTTTTTAGATTAAAAGATGGTTGTAGCATTTGAAATGAAAACTTTTTCTCCTTGATTTGCTAGTATCCTGAGCATATTCTCTGTACGTGTAGCTCAAATGGGTCAGCGTGAAAGGTTAAAGGTTTAAAGATGTCAATGTTACCTGGGTGGTTAAGGCCAAGGCCTCTCCTACCACTGTGCCACTGACTTGCTATGTGACCCTGGGCAAGTCACCTAACTATAATGTGCCTCAGTTTTCCTTCTGTTAAAATGGGGATAATAATACTGACCTACCTCAAAGGGCAGTTTTGAGGTGTGACTAATGCTTTTTATAAAGCATTTTGGGATTCTTCAGCAGAGGAATTCCCTTAAGTCCTAAGTATTTTTATAGCAGCAGCAGTATCCACCATGAATTTGTGTCCTCCCAGAACAATGTGTCCCAGATGCTATCCATCTATCTGGTTCTCTGAGAGATTAAATAAATCCATTGGATAAGTGGTGGATAACTAGCCAGACAAAATCTGAGGATGCATAAACTCATTGCCATTGAAACATAGACAAGATAGCTTATCCTTGATTGGGTGGGATTTTTTCCTTTTTTATGTGGGATAGTAGTTATTTGTGACCTAAGAATAACTTTGGAATAATTTCTATTAATAACTCTGAATCTAGTTATATTAACCTGAGATTGTGTTTGTTCATAATAAAAGTGAGGTGAATATGATAACACTGTCTGAGAGATTTTTTTTTTTGGCTGTAATTCAGTCTCCTGGGACTTAGCTCTATGGTCCACCATGGATCTAGGTCCTATTCCTGTACCTTTAAGAATGAAAAAAGAAGTAAAATTCCCCAGTAACCTGCCCTGTCCTTACTAAGGGTAACTTTAGGTTAAATTCAGTCTTGGCAGCAGGAAACCAAGGTCTGCTCCTATTAAACAAAACACATTGATGCCCACTGACACTTTGGCCCTTGGGAAATGCCAGGTCTCTTGTGTGTCACATGGTCACATGGACCCAAGAGGAAGTTAGCAGCAAGAAAAATACTCCGGGAAAGCAGTTTTTTAAATCTTGTGTCCTAGACTGGGCAGTCCAGATCAGTCCTCTGAAATGTAGTCCTACTCTGAAATAAAGTAGCTTCCTGGAAATGCTGATTAAAAAGAGCAGGAAGGAAGGAAAAGTAATCCAAGGGAAGATCTGTAAACTCCTGAAATAGAGTGGGCTTCATAATCGTAAGATGGAAAGGCTTTGGGTTTTACTTCTTTATCTGGGAATCCTCATGTGGGAAAGAGGGTTTTTTACAATTTGAAGATGCTCCATCCTCCAATAGGAGCCAACGTGACAATATCTAGGCTTCTAAGGGTTTCCTAGAACCAACTCCCCTTACTTTCTAGCATAAGGTTGCCTTCACCTTGGACAAAAAGCAAGATTCTCTCGGAGTAATTTGGCATATCCAAAGTCAAGTCTATGTTCATTGACACCTTACCAGACCTTAATAACTGAAGTTGATGGTGTTATTTCTTCAATATCTCACTTTCCCTGTTTTGGCTAAAATGTTCAGGCTGGACTTTAAAAAATTTTTTTCAGTTCTATAATTGCACTGTTCCTTCCAAGTCCATTTTATTTCCCATAAACTGGCAAACAAGTTAAATACTTTATCCTCACTAAGCTCTGCTTTCTTTCTTTTCATTTCCTCCTATATTTTTATCTAACTGTCTTCCCTCTAATTAAACCTAGTTCTGTGCTTCCTCCAGAGAATGTGTATCTTATGTTTGTTATTTCACCCTGGGGCTGTTTTTATTATAATATGCAAATTTCCAAGAAAGAAGATGGAAGGGGAGAGCTCTTAGTACTTCATTAACATGCTCAGTTGAGTTCAAGATTGAGAGGGAAAGAGAATTGAGTATGAGTTTACCTTTAAGGATAAGTTGTAAAGTAAGAGTATGGAGGGGGCAAAATAATTAACTCTTATTTTTGATATGTTTTGTATGGGAAAATATAAAGAGGTTTATGGCTCTCCTTAATCAAGATTTAACGATGGGACAAAGAATAAAAAGCAATTTTAAGAAAATAATGGGGAAGAGCACAGAAAAAATTTCTGATGCTCAGTAGCTACCAGTTTTCTCCCTCTTCCCTAGAGGCAAAAGAAAATACAGTTCTTAAAAAGAAAAAAAAAAAAGAGTCCACCAGGGCATAAAAAGATAGCAGTAAAACTATCTCTGTATGCAGATAACATGGTTGTTTATTTAAAAAAACCTGGGAGAATCCACACAAAAAAAACTATTAGAACTAATAAACAAGTTCAGTAAGGTTGCAGGATACAAGATCAATATATAAAAATCAATTATATTTCTATAAACTAAAAATAAATATTCAAATGAAAAGAATTCCATTTAAAGCATCAAAAAGAATAAAATAAATAGGAATAAATCTAAAAAAAGAAGTGCATAAGAATGGTACATTGTAAACTACAAAATGTGATCAAAAGAAATTGAAGAAGACCTAAATACTGAAAAGACATCTCATGTTCATGGATTGGAAGACTTTAAAGTTGGTAATACAACTCAAATTGATCTACAGATTCAATACAATCCTTATCCAAATTCCAACTCCCTTTTTTTTTTTTTTTTTTTTTACAGAAATTGATAGCTGATTCTAGAATTCATACAGAAACTCAAGGGAGCCAGAATAGCCAAAACAAAGTTGAAAAAGAAGCACAAAAGTTGGAGGACTCACATTTCCTGATTTCAAAATTACTTTAAAGGTTCAGTAATCAAGATAGTGTACTATAGGTATAAGGACAGGCATATTAATGTAATAGAATTGAGAGTATAAAAATAAACTCATACATTATTAGTCAATTGACTTTGACAAAGGGAGCTAAACAATTCATTGAGGAAAGGATGGTTTTTTTGATAAATGGTGTTAGGGCAACTGGAAATACACATGCAAAAGAATGACATTGATCCATCACTTCACATCATATACAAATATTAACTCAAAATGGATTAGCCAAATTATAAAACTCTTAAGAGAAAACAAAGATATAAATCTCTATAACCTCAGATTAGGCAATGGTTTCTTAGATATAACACCAAAAACTTAACAAGAGAAAAAAAATAACTTGGACTTAACTGGAAATTAAAAATTTTTGCTTTAAAAGATACTATCAAGAAAGTAAAAAGACAACACACAGAATGAGAGAATATACTTGCAAGTCATTTATCTAAGAGGCTAGTACCCAGAATATAAAAGGAACCCTTACAACAAAAACAATCCAATTTAAAAATAGGCAAAGCATTTAAATAGATATATCTTCAAAGAAGATACACAAATAAGCACATAAAAAGGTGCTCAACATGGTTAATCTCAAGGAAATGCCAATTAGAACAACAATGAAACACAACTCTTATTCACTAGAATGATTAGTCAAAAAGACTTAATAACAAATATTGGTGAGGATGTAGAGAAATTGGTACTCATACAATGCTGGGGGAATTGAAATTTGTTCAACTTCAGCAAACAGTTTGGCAGTTTCTCAAAAGGTTAAAAAATATAGTGTATATGTCCACACAAAAACTGATATGTGAAACTTCATAGCAGGATTGTATACTATACAAAACCAAAATGCAGAAATAACCCAAATGCCCATCAAAAGATAAATAAACACAATTAGTTATAGCCATATCATTCAGCCAGAAAAAATGAACTACTGATAGCCCTACAATACAGATGAACTTTGAAAACATTATTCTAAGGGAAGAATGCAGACTAGAAAACAAACAAACAAACAAATGAAACACACCCCACGTGCGGTGTGATCCCATTTACATGAACTGTTGAGAATGGAAAGGATATTATTGGGCTGGGGACAGGGAATGAAAAGTGACTACTAACGGGCATGGGTTTTGGGGGGAAATGATGTAAATGTTCTAAAGTGATGTTGCGGTGATGGTTGCACAACTGTGAACATGTTGAATCATACATATTAAAGGGTAATTTTATGGGATATGAAATATGCCTCATATTTCATACTTCATATCCCATAAAATTATGAAGTATGAGAGGGTGCACTGCCACCCCGCCTCCTGCCCCGGGAGCGTGTCCGCACCTTTCCCTTCTCCCTTTCCTTCCCCCACAGGCTTGCATCTCCTAAACTCTAAGGGACCCTGCAAGACTTGCAACCAGGGAAGCACTGGGCAGCGGCAGCTGGTCCCAGGCTAAACCCCAAACCTGTCTCCAAGGCCCCCTTTTCTCTGACTCTCCAGAGAGCCGACAGCAGCCCTGCCTTGGCTCACTGCTTTCCTATAACATTTCTAGAGAGCCAAAGCAGCCCACCTCATCTCTTTCTGGTTGTTTCTTCTATCCTAAGCCCGTCCTTGTTTCACTGTCTCCAGTTTTAATATATGTACCCTCAAAATAAAAAAAAAAAAATTCCCTGTCTTAATGTTTTTACCATATTGTAAACAGCTGACTTTCAAACCCAAATATAATCAAAAGAAGCATCCCGTATTCTCTTAATGAAGTTATGTGGTCTCTATTCTCCAAATACAAGGAGACAAAAACACCAGCTATATGAGAAAAGGCAAGCTAGAGAGTTTAGGATGATATTCTTTTCTTTTCTTTTTTTTTTAAGATTTTATTTGTTTATTTTTAAAGAGAGGGGAAGGGAGCGAGAAAGAGAGGGAGAGAAATATCAATGTGAAAGAGACACATCAATCAGTTGCCTCTCACACGCCCCCAACTGGGGTCATGGCCGACCACTGAGGCTTGTACCCTGACTAGGAATCAAACCAGTGACTTCTCGGTTCACAGGCCGGCACTCAATACTCTGAGCCACACCAGTCAGGGCTAAGATGATATTCTTGCTATACCAAATTCCTCTGAAAAAAAAAAAAATGTATACCATGTTCTACTTCAGTTAAAAAGTTTAAGGCCACTGCATAAACACAAATCTAACAACCTTTCAATGCAGAAACTCCAAGTTCTGAGTGCACCAGACCTGTGGATGCAATTATAACAACATTTGCTATAGCCAGGCATTGTACTGAGTGCTTGCCTGTCTGTTACCATGCTGTATTGGGAACAGGTGATATTACTACCCCAGTTTTCTTGATAACTGAGTTTACTTGGAGAGAAAGTAAGCTGTGGGTGGGTAAGTAATGGTGTTGTGATCCAGTTCCAGGACTATGTTATTAAATTATTGTCAATATTGGGTGTGGAATAGCTGACAAACTAGATAAGCCCAGAATGCACAAATCTCTAGTATGTAGATGCCTGGTGATATTTAAATATACTCAGAAGTAAAGCCTTATTGTAATGGCAGAGGGCTTAATTTATGCAAAATCAAACTGCAGAGGTATCCTCTGTTCCAGAAGGATCCAACTCCACTCGATGAGCCATTTTAATATTCAACCACACCTGAGTTTTAGGCTCACCTCTTAAACCACAGAAACATACCTGACATTTCCTCTGTACTTTTCCAAACAATACTCCACCCTCTTGTCAGGCTTGGAGATCCTTAACGGCATCTTTTTCTTTAGAAATGTCTCCTGCCCCTAGACAATCAGTGCTTGATGAAATTATTGAAAGATCTCTTGTTTTAAATTCTCTCTGCCACAAACTGTGAAATGTCACAGGGCATGGTAGTGGTGACCTGTAGTTAACTTTTTTTGCCGCAGGCAAAGCTCCGATTCTTGTACACTGACTTTGG